GAACCCCATTCCGACACACATTTTTGCTTCAGCACGGAAGATGCTAAGAGACGTGCTAACTTGAAAATGTGCACAGAACCCCATTCCGACACACATTTTTGCTTAAGCACGGAAGATGCCAAGAGACGTGCTAACTTGAAAATGTGCCAGAACCCCATTCCGACACACATTTTTGCTTCAGCACGGAAGATGCTAAGAGACGTGCTAACTTGAAAATGTGCACAGAACCCCATTCCGACACACATTTTTGCTTAAGCACGGAAGATGCCAAGAGACGTGCTAACTTGAAAATGTGCACAGAACCCCATTCCGACACACCTTTTTGCTTAAGCACGGAAGATGCTAAGAGACGTGCTAACTTGAAAATGTGCACAGAACCCCATTCCGACACACATTTTTGCTTCAGCACGGAAGATGCTAAGAGACGTGCTAACTTGAAAATGTGCACAGAACCCCACTCCGACACACATTTTTGCTTCCGCACGGAAGATGCTAAGAGACGTGCTAACTTGAAAATGTGGCCAAAACCCCCATTCCGACACACATTTTGTTCAGCACGGAAAGATCTAAGAGACGTGCTAACTTGAAAATGTGCACAGACACCCCATTCCGACACACATTTTTGCTTCACACGGAAGATGCTAAGAGACTTGCACTTGAAAATGTGCACAGAACCCCATTCCGACACACATTTTTGCTTCAGCACGGAAGATGCTAAGAGACGTGCTAACTTGAAAATGTGCACAGACCCCAATTCCGACACACATTTTTGCTTCAGCACGGAAGATGCTAAGAGACGTGCTAACTTGAAAATGTGCACAAAACCCCATTCCGACACACATTTTTGCTTCAGCACAGAATGCATGCTAAGAGACGTGCTAACTTGAAAATGTGCACAGAACCCCATTCCGACACACATTTTTGCTTCAGCACGGAAGATGCTAAGAGACGTGCTAACTTGAAAATGTGCACAAAACCCCATTCCGACACACATTTTTGCTTAGCACGGAAGATGCTAAGAGACGTGCTAACTTGAAAATGTGCACAGAACCCCATTCCGACACACATTTTTGCTTCAGCACGGAAGATGCAAGAGACTGCTAACGTGAAATGTGCACAGACCCATTCCGACAACCATTTTTTTTGCTTAGCACGGAAGATGCTAAAGAACGTGCTAACAAGAAATGTTGGCACAGAACCCCATCCGACACAACATTTTTGCTAAGCAACGGAAGATGCCAGATACGTGCTTAACTTGAAAACGTGCCGACCCATTCCGACACACATTTTTGCTTAAGCACGGAAGATGCTAAGAGACGTGCTAACTTGAAAATGTGCACAGAACCCCATTCCGACACACATTTTTGCTTCAGCACGGAAGATGCTAAGAGACGAGCTAACTTGAAAATGCGCACAGAACCCCATTCCGACACACATTTTTGCTTCAGCACGGAAGATGCTAAGAGATGTGCTAACTTGAAAATGTGCACAGAACCCCATTCCGACACACATTTTTGCGTAAGCACGGAAGATGCTAAGAGACGTGCTAACTTGAAAATGTGCACAGAACCCCATTCCGACACACATTTTTGCTTCAGCACGGAAGATGCTAAGAGACGTGCTAACTTGAAAATGTGCACGAAACCCCATTCCGACACACATTTTTGCTTCAGCACGGAAGATGCTAAGAGACGTGTTAACTTGACAATGTGCACAGAACCCCATTCCGGACACACATTTTTGCTTCAGCACGGAAGATGCTAAGAGACGTGCTAACTTGAAAATGTGCACAGAACCCCATTCCGACACACATTTTTGCTTCAGCAGGAAAGATGCTGAGACGTGCTAACTTGAAAATGTGCACAGAACCCCATTCCGACACACATTTTTGCTTCAGCACGGAAGATGCTAAGAGGGGGGACGTGCTAACTTGAAAATGTGCACAGAACCCCATTCCGACACACATTTTTGCTTCAGCACGGAAGATGCTAAGAGACGTGTTAACTTGAAAATGTGCACAGAACCCCATTCCGGACACACATTTTTGCTTCAGCACGGAAGATGCTAAGAGACGTGCTAACTTGAAAATGTGCACAGAACCCCATTCCGACACACATTTTTGCTTCAGCACGGAAGATGCTAAGAGACGTGCAACCTAGAAACTGTGCACAGAACCCCATCCGACACACATTTTTTGCTTCAGCACGGAAGGAGCTAAGAGACGTGCTAACTTGAAAATGTGCCACAGAACCCCATTCGACACACATTTTTGCTTAAGCACGGAAGATTGCAAGAGACGTGCTAACTTGAAAATGTGCACAGAACCCCATTCCGACACACATTTTTGCTTCAGCACGGAAGATGCTAAGAGACGTGTTAACTTGAAAATGTGCACAGAACCCCATTCCGACACACATTTTTGCTTCAGCACGGAAGATGCTAAGAGACGTGCTAACTTGAAAATGTTCACAAAACCCCATTCCGACACACATTTTTGCTTCAGCACGGAAGATGCTAAGAGACGTGCTAACTTGAAAAAATGTGCACAGAACCCCATTCCGACACACATTTTTGCTTCAGCACGGAAGATGCTAAGAGACGTGCTAACTTGAAAATGTGCACAGAACCCCATTCCGACACACATTTTTGCTTCAGCACGGAAGCTGCTAAGAGACGTGCTATCTTGAAAATGTGCACAGAACCCCATTCCGACACACATTTTTGCTTCAGCATGGAAGATGCTAAGAGACGTGTTAACTTGAAAATGTGCACAGAACCCCATTCCGACACACATTTTTGCTTCAGCACGGAAGATGCTAAGAGACGTGCTAACTTGAAAATGTGCACAGAACCCCATTCCGACACACATTTTTGCTTCAGCACGGAAGATGCTAAGAGACGTGCTAACTTGAAAATGTGCACAGAACTCATTCCGACACACATTTTTGGCTTCAGCACGGAAGATGCTAAGAGACGTGCTAACTTGAAAATGTGCACAGAACCCCATTCCGACACACATTTTGGCTTCAGCACGGAAGATGCTAAGAGACGTGCTAACTTGAAAATGTGCACAGAACCCCATTCCGACACACATTTTTGCTTCAGCACGGAAGATGCTAAGAGACGTGCTAACTTGAAAATGTGCACAGAACCCATTCCGACACACATTTTTGCTTAAGCACGGAAGATGCTAAGAGACGTGCTAACTTGAAAATGTGCACAGAACCCCATTCCGACACACATTTTTGCTTAAGCACGGAAGATGCTAAGAGACGTGCTAACTTGAAAATGTGCACAAAACCCATTCCGCCACACATTTTTGCTTCAGCACGGAAGATGCTAAGAGACGTGCTAACTTGAAAATGTGCACAGAACCCCATTCCGACACACATTTTTGCTTCAGCACGGAAGATGCTAAGAGAGTGCTAACTTGAAAATGTGCACAGAACCCCATTCCGACACACATTTTTGCTTAAGCACGGAAGATGCTAAGAGACGTGCTAACTTGAAAATGTGCACAGAACCCCATTCCGACACACATTTTTGCTTAAGCACGGAAGATGCCAAGAGACGTGCTAACTTGAAAATGTGCACAGAACCTCATTCCGACACACATTTTTGCTTCAGCACGGAAGATATCCCTCCATATAGCGGCTGGGACCCTCCCGAGGACCCTTCAATACATTTCCACAGGGGTTTTAATGTATTGGGGAGGTGGGGGGGGGTGAGTCAGTATCTCAGACTTTGAGGTTTGTCGTGGGAGCTTGAAGTTGTTATCAGCATCATCTTGCATCGACGGTGTGCTCAGCTTCTTTTCGCGGAAGCCCCCCAAGGCTGACTTAGTCGGTGAAACTTTTCTGCCAGCTCTCAGCTCGGGAGCGGAAAGCTCTGCTGAGAGACATCTCGAAGAAAACGCAAAAACGGCTGGGCCCCTTGAGCTACTGTTGGCGCTACGGCGCGGAAGCGTCCGCATACCTTGGCAGAGAACTCCCGGCTAGAGATGCCTTTAGATTTGCCTTCGATGTCCGTGGGCATGTACAGCTGCAAGAAGTAGTTCGGAGAGCTCTGCAGGAGGGTGGTCCACAAGGGCCTGGTCAAGGGTTTAGGGGTTTATGGAGTTTGGTTGGTTAGGGCCGTTTACGGATTTTGTTTTAATATATACAAGAAAAAGACATGCTGAAATTGAACCATGTGTGCGCATCTCCGCTCTGATTTCTCAGCGGTCGCACTCTCCCATCGTCCAGTGTCAGACTCTGACCAGTGACTTTTTGGAACATATTCGGTAGCAGACTCATATATTTGACGATGTTCTCGAGGCCTTGTTTGGTATTGCTGAACGACGACTCTGTAAAAACCTCGGCGTTGTCGGGTTTGTGGCCTTGCTCAGAAGCCGCCACTGCCAGGGTATCTGCTTTGATTGACTTGATTCCTGCCAGAGCCGCCGGCGAAAGTTGCATTAACAGCGCGGTTTGCACAGGCCGAGTCTCGAAATGCTGGCGGCATACCTCGAATAGCACAGTGGGCTTCTCGGGCTGGCTGTTGTGCGGCTGAATCACTACGGCGGGGGAGAGGACTGTTGTTTTGTACATCCCGTCCGTCTCGGGTTCTACAGCGGCGAAGAGCGATACGTGGAGGCACGATGTCTGTTGAGCTGGAAGCGTGCTTTCATGAGGCTTGTTGCCGGTGCCGCCTTTGCGGTTCACACTTCCACGGAAAACCCTCTCCACCAGCGCTAGATGGTTTCTCCCCAGCTGGTGCAAGCGAACCACTAATATCTGGTAGTCGCGCTCGAAAGGTTCCACTCCGCTTTTGAGGGCATTGCTGGGCCGGAAGCTTTCAGGAGCACAGAAGACAACATCATGGCCAGCCAAGCCCGCGAACTTGCAAGCCTCGTCCTGAGCAGCCTGGGCCACCAGTTTGGCAAAGCCCCACCAGGCAGCGGCCCGCCCCTGCCGGACCCCTCGCAACCCGAAGCTCCTCTGGGCTTCGGAGAGCTCCTTTTGCATCCTGTTCCACTCGGAGAGTGGACGCTTGCCCTCGCGGATCTGACTAGGCCTCAAGAAACCTTCGCCAAGCCTCGTCTCGCAGACCACCTTGAGCATGTCGGGAAGCAGCTTCCGTAACCTCAGCGGCTTGACGGTCTAGGGTATAGGGTTTTAGGGTTTAGGGCGTTTAGGGTACTGAGGTTTATAGGGCTTAAGGGCGTAGGGGTCCAGGGGCGTGGCCTCAGCAACATGCAGTCTTCGCTGTCAGGCTGTGGCGGAGCGTACTTGTCGAAGCCGCTCTTGGCCAGGATCTGCTTCAGGGTGCAAGGCTTCTCGTCGTCTGTCTCCTGATTCTGATCGACATCCGGCGTGGCTTGCGTAATGCTCTCTGTCTGTGCATCCTTGATTGACGCCTCGATACACTCCAATGTCTCGGCTTCCTTTTCCAGACAGGCCAATGTCTGGGCAATGTCAGCACCCTGATCGACCTCCACCTCGGTGACGTCAGGCACCTCATCTGCAGCATCGGATCCATTCTCGGAGCAATCATCTTCCACGCCCGTCGTTTTGAGCTTGGTGCCAACCATCGCCCTCCCAGTCACTTGCCACCAAGTCTCCAGGTCTGTCGCATAGCTCTGCCAATCGCGGCCCACACTGACCACGGCCTTGAACTGGCAGACCGTTTCAAAGGCCTGGCGACTGATGGCTTCCACCTCGGCATCGCTCATTGCAGACCACTCGCTGATCTTCTTCTTGTCTGGTGCAGACAGCTTCCTAACAAAACATGGACTGTGAAGTAAGAGCTGAAGGGTCGCAGGAATCACAACAGCAACGACAGCAACAACAACAACAACAACAAAAACAACCGTCTGTCTGGTGCAGGCAGCTTCCTAACAAGACATGGATTCAAAACAGCAACATCTACAGCTGCCTAACAAGACATGGGTTCAAGACAGCAACATCTACAACCCTGAAGTCCTCGACTGCTGAATGTGTAGCCGCTGGGTTGACAAGATAGCAGATCGGATAGTTGGTAAACGATGAAGGATGCCACCCTTTGTGCGCCCGAAGTGGTGCTCGCAGGTGTCTTCCATTGTGGCACTCGGCCTGAAAGGCGTTGATTTCGGCCAATTGAACATTCTTTCCAGGAGGTGTCCGCAGGTTGCGAGTTGGTTGGCGATGGTGATGCTGTGATAGAACTGGTCAGGTTTGGCCGCAGCATCCTTGATGTCCAAGAGAAGCAGGAAGTACCCACAGAGTGAGTTTTCCAGAAGAGCTTGTGGCGTGAACCGATGAGAGGACAGCCAGCAGCCCGTCGTCAGCGCGATGCAATACATGGCCATGCCGATGCCCAGCGAATCCCACTGAGACAAGTCCAGAAGAGATGGACAAAGGAGCCAAGCGGCTTCCACATCTGACTGGGAATCATTCCCCCGGAAGCTGGCCGTGGGGAGGCCACGCAGCAGAAGACTCTGGTGGCATACACGCAAGCCCTGATTGTACAATGTTCTGGTCTTGGCTCTCCAAGCTCGGGTAAGGCATTTCTGAGTGTGCGCGGCGTCGTTGTGACCAAAGATAACATGAGTCCTGAAGGTGAGACTCTTGAATCTGTAGCAGGGCACCGAGCAGGAACGCCGCAGAGGAGCACACTCCTCGAAGAAGGGTATGCCCCGGACATCGTCTGCACTCAGCTGGCCTAAAAACAGCGCGTTGAAGCGAGTCTGCGACGGGTGGTTATCGCAGGACTGGGAAATCGGCGGAATGCCGCCGGCCGCGGCTGTGACGGATTGCCAGACTGAGCCTGTCAAGGCCATCACCGACTGTGTGTTGACCGAGCTTTGCCGTTTCGGAGCCATGCATACATCAAACGGCTCTTTGCGAGTCGACGCCCTTTTGAGAAGGTAGGAGACGCACGTTTGGCATAGTTGTGTCTTCAGCAGGGTTCCCGGGCTGTGTTGGCTGGCAGGGAGCACAGCCCGGTCATCAGCACCACCCACGTAGGCCATACCAATTGGATCGGGGAATGCCTGCAGATTGTACTGTGGCCAGTACGTTGTCTCATCAAAGGCAATCATATAATCACGGGTTTCCTGGCATTGCTGGCCGAAGATAGATAGCACAAGCCGAGCGTTCTTCTCAAGCTGCGAGATGCCACCGGCCACCGGAGAGGACGTTGCAGGGGAGAAGAAGAGAGGGAGATGATCCTGCCACACATCGACTCCTTTCTGCTGCGGGGCAATCATACCGAACATCTTCATCAGTGACTCTTGACGTGTGCAACTGGAAAGAGCGAAGCCGACCTCGGCGATAGCAGACGGCTCGATACCTGGAAGAGAGGACGTGCAGACACGGCTTTTGCCCTGGCTCACCTTCTCGGCTTTGTGCAGAATTCCCGTCACCATCGCCCGTGCCACTGCATTCCCATCTAATGCTCCAGACAGGATTTGCTGACACAGACGTGCATCGTTGCCTTGCGATGCCTTGACGGACTTGGCCCTGAGCAAGATGTCGACATAATCCAAGGCCTGCCCCGTTGACGACTTGTCCAGCTGTGGCTTTGCGATCTGTCGTGGCAACCAATCGAAGTGCGTGATCATAAAGCGCTGCATTGCCTGGTTGCGGAGGGAGTTGGGGATCTTCACCAGCAGATTCTGGAGCGCATCATAGAGGTCGGCGTACCGCATGTCTCTCAGGGACTCCATCTCCGTGGGATGGAATTTTTGCCAGCTGGCCTCTGTCATGGACTCCATTAGCCTCGAGATCTCCACGTCGTTCTCCAAGAAGATTGCCGCAACGAACTTGGCCATATCGATACGGTAGGCCCATGTGGCCACTTTGCTACAGAAGTCTGCTGTCCTGCAGAGTCCCATACATGACCGACAGGCACTGCAGCCAGGCGCCACAGTCTGCTTCTGCTTCGTGCACTTCGCAGAACGCACAACGACAATGCCATCCTCTCCCACGATGCACTTCGCCTGGTACTGCTGCATATGCCAAGGGCAATCATGCTGAGCCCACAAGAGGAAGCACTGGGCTACATCATGCGCGAAGGTCCTCTCCACTGGATTGCAATGCTCCAGCCGCAGGCCCTCGCACTGAGGTCGCTGCTGCTGCCGCTGAGCCTCCCAATGCAGAGACTGTGCCTCATGTTGCAGGACAAAGTAGATGGTGTTTGGTCGCATGGCATGGAACTTCTCCTTGCAGAGCTCGCACTGCAGCTGGATCTTATGCCCTCCGAATGAGGTGTACTGCTCGGGTCGTCGAACCTTCAACCATTCCCAGAGGTTCTCGTGCAGAGGCACTGGGCCGCCGGACTTGGGACGGCGACCCTTCTTGATAGCAAGCATGCCTTCCTCCTCACGAAGCCGCTGGAATCTCTCCTGAAAAGCCTTCGTGGCTGCAGACACGCCCGGCGCCTCCGCAGCAACAATGTCAGTGATCTCCGCAACCCCAGTGCCCGTGTCCTCATCCGCAGCTGGCTCCTGCTTCGTGCGAGCCTGCCTTCGGAGCTCTGTGCAGATGGGGCATTCCACCTCCTTGCCAAGGGACACGGCTCGACAGAAGTCCTTCCAATGGTTCTTTGGCATGACGAACTTATGCTTCGGGCCGAAGACGTTGTGGTAGTCGATACCCAAAACATCCAGTTCGCTCCTGCCCGCCAACCGCTCCTGTTTCTGGGCTTTGCGGACTCGTCTGCTGGGCAGCTTGGGCGCAGCGGCCGGCTCGTTGTCATCGTCCACCAGAACCAGTTGCCGAGGTTGAGGGTCCGAAGGCTCCAGTTTGACCGGAAGAGGCTGTGACGACGGTTCGACCTTGACAGGCCTGCGAGGTGCATTGTCTTTTTGTGCCGTTTCGGGCGTGGCTTTGGGTTTCGGTGGTGGAGTGACTGGTTGCTCGAGCGAGATGATCTGCGTCCCCATGGCCCGAGCAAAGACCTCCTGGCCTACCACGGCTGACGGCGCAGCCTCTGTCTTGACGGACAGCTGTGCGCTGACCCTTGCGCCGGCGTTCTCGGTTAGGCAACCACGAAGAGCAGCCACAGATGGAGCAGCACAGCACTGCTGCGACCAGGGACGCGAAAGGACCCACAAGCTCGCGGCCGCGTTGGCCTTGTACATAGCATCCGGTCGTGTAGTGAGGTGATCCAGAAGCTCGGCACCTGAAGAGGCAAGGGTGGTAGCGGACGTGCTAAGGTCCTGAAGGTCATAGCAGTGCGAGTCGTAATGCACGATGGGGCAGTCGGAGTGCGTACAGCAGAAGATCGTGGACGCCTTCTCCATGGAGAGTAGAAGAAAGCACATCAACGCTCCGGACTGAGCAGTCCTAAACCTGTCTACATGCGTCAAGGCATCGAACAGCACTGTTCCCTGGCACAGTTCGCGCAGATGGCACTGCTGAAGCATCTGCCGGATCTCGTGGAAGCGGGAGTCTTCTTTCAGAACGCCGTCAGTTAGTTGATGCAAAACTTCCGATGGTGTGCAATATTTGTCAGCTTCGGTCCACAGGCTGCCTAACACTTGCTTCAGACCTGGCACAGTGGCTTGGTTGTAGATCCCCGCCAACTCAGCGCCTCGCCGAAGCCTGCACCACACTCGCTCGTCGCCCGAGGACGATAGCCAGTGACGTAGGAAATCCTGAATGTATTGGATGTGTGGGTCAAGGTATTGGCAGGGTCTGGGAATGTATTGCAACGGTTCCGTGCTGAATTTGCCCAGGAGCGCTAGGTCTGGCATCCTCCTGAGATAAATAGCCGCGGCAGATGTCCAAGCAAATCCAGAGGCAAGCTCTGGAATGGTCCTCTGACCCTATCAGAGCCAGCCACTCATTGTTCTGATTGCAGCAGTGTCTGCGAGCACGGGGAAGAATCGCCTGACGCGAATGTATTGACAGGGTCCCCTTAAGTATTGGCACGGTCAGCACGTGGTCGGGCTCTAGAAACGTAGAGTCATAACCAACATTAACCAACCGAGGTTAGATCCTGCTAAGCTGCTGCGACTGCACACAGCTAGACCCGGACCCCTGCTCGGAATGCGCACACTGCCAGACCCCTCCAATACATTCCAGGACCCTCTAGAGACATTATTTCGTGGAGCTTTCCTCCAGCTAGATCCCGGGACTGCACATAGCCAGGCCTGGACCCTTGCTAGGAATGCGCACACTGCCAGACCCCTCCAATACATTCCAGGACCCTGTAGATACATTAGTTCGTGGAGCTTTCCGGCCTGGATGCAGCTCCAACTCTTCTTCGCGACGTGGCTTGCAATGTCACTGTAGGAGGAAGACCAAAGAGCTCCATAGGCATCCTGCGATCCGAGGAACAAACAGCAAATCAGGATTGCTTTGAAGGTTAGAGCTGGAACATGTGGGTGTTCTGATTGCAGGCCTCGGGTATCAGGCGTGCCCTCTCTTCTGCAGGAACGGCTCGGAAGTTCTCCACCCCCCCAGCTTTCAGCGTGCCGCCAATCTCTTGAAGGCACAGGAACCAAAATGGCTCCTGTTGCTCCCAGGGCAACCTGCGAGCGACAGTGCACTGGCAACCGCGCTCCCAACATCTCCCAACCCTCCGCCTGCCACAAATACATGGATCCGTCTGCAACTGAGCTCCGGAACCTAAGCCCCTGGAATCCCTTGAAACCGACTGTGTAAGCTCACAAGACTCGGAAGCTCAGAAGACCCAAGGCGATTTCGTCACGGCACGCATAGAGGGCCAGATGGCCAAAGGGCATGCTTTCGTAGTCGTTGTAGACATTGTGCGGCATGCGTGCGACCCCCACTCCCAAGATTGGATCGCCCCAGTGGTTCGCGAGGCAAGCAGGCAACTGCGTGGCCTTCGTGTGGCAAACTCTGCAAGTACTAGAGATACACGTCCTATCACCCAATCTGCGTGGTGCAGGCCAGGCAGGCAAACGCAGGCAAAACCCGCGCCTCTGGCTTCACCCCTGCTTCTAGACCTTTCGGCGGGTCCTCCCAGCAGGTTTAGGGTCTTCTCCAAACTCCAGGGTTCTAGGGTGCAGGGTTACGGGTTTAGGGTTGAGGGCGTCACGGTCTTAGGACTTGTGTCGGATAAGCGTAAACTTCCCGGGTTGCGATTGCACAAGCCTCCTCTGCATCTCGACTTTCTTGTCTTGGCTCCTGCCGGCGCACACCCGAAGCCCTGCAACCCCGACGCCCCTATCACACCCCAAACCCTATACACCCGACCTCCTCTGCATCTCGACTTTCTTGTCTTGGCTCCTGCTGGCGCACACCCGAAGCCCTGCAACCCCGACGCCCCTAACACCCATACCCCAAACCCTCTACACCCGACCTCCTCGGCATCTCGACTTTCTTGTCTTGGCTCCTGCTGGCGCACACCCGAAGCCCTGCAACCCCGACGCCCCTAACACCCATACCCCAAACCCTCTACACCCGACCTCCTCGGCATCTCGACTTTCTTGTCTTGGCTCCTGCCGCACGCAAGCCCCACAGCCGCACACACCACCCACCCTCCCAAGAACTCCAGAACCTAAAAAATGGGCACCGACCGCAGGGCCTCCATCCTTCTTCTTGGACGGGTTAGAAACGACACCAGGAACTCTCGAAACAAAACCCCCAAACCGCACAAGCCTTGGTGGTCGGCTATGCTTCCTTTCTCCGCTCCTGGCCAAAAGTGGTTCGGAGGCGGGGGGGGGGGGGGGGGGGGGGGGGGGGGGGGGGGGGGGGGGGGGGGGGGGGGGGGGGGGGGGGGGGGGGGGGGAGACAGAAAAGGGGGTTTTGGGGCTTTGGTGAGGGTTTGGGGGGGTTTTGGGGGCTTTGGTGAGGGTTTGGGGTTTCCGGCCCAGTCCCACCCAACCCCCCCTCCCTGGCCGAATTTTGGGGGGGTTGGGTGGCCTCATTTTTCTTGTTATGGCTTCTTCGCGGCAGGACGGAAAACGAGTAAAAAGCAAACCAACAGTCCTGTAACTTTGGTAACCTGCTGCACCCTAGAACCTTCTAGCCTATGAGCCCTTAAGCACCAGGCCTCCATCGTCTTTTCCGCTTCCTCTCGCGACTCCTGCTGGCAAACACCCGAAGCCCGAAATCGCCCTGAAACCCAAACCAAGAAACCCCGACACCCCCCAACACCCATACCCTCAACCCTTAAGACCTGTACACCCTACAACCTTACAGAGAAGCCTAGAACCCTAAAGCCGAGAGCCCTTAAGCGCAAGGCCAGCCTCCATCGTGTCCTTTGCTTCCTCTCTCGGTTCCTGCCAACAAACACGCGAAGCCCGAAACCTTCATTAACACCAAACCGCTAAACCCCTACGTTTTGTATTCATCAACAGCCATCGTCCCGCACGCCTTACTGGACCAGATCAAAAAGACATACCCCAAAGTATTTGTACTCAATACTTCCCACAGCAATATATTCATTCCAATATATACGAAGTATATCATATAGTTTATGAAATATCAATCCGGTCTTCGACGCATCACTCGGACCCCTCCTTCTTTTGCCATGTACCCTAAGACCCTAGACAGAACCCTATAGAACCCGGAACCCTGGAGTCTACAGCCCTCCATCTCGAGGCCTCTGTCGTCTGCTCTGCTTCCACTACCTCTCTCGGCTCCTGCCGGCGGCACACACTCGAATCCCCGGGCCGCCCTAAATCCGGAGCGTAAAACACCCACACCGCTAACACCTATACCACAAGCCCCTCTAAACCCTATACATCTCACAACCCTCAAGAGCACCCTAAAGGCCCTAGAACATCCTAGAACCCTAAAGCCTGGAGCCCTCAAGCACAGGCACGGGGCCTCCATCGTTTGCTTTGCTTCCTCTCTCGCCTCCTGCCGGCATTCGCCCGAAGCCGGAAACCGCCCTAAACCCCAAAACGCGAAACCCCGACACCCCTCACACCTGTACCCTAAACCCCGAATCCCATACCGCATACCAATTCTGGAGCCCCAACCCCCGCTCATGCGTACGATGCCACCCCCCCCTAATCCCCCCCCTCATCCTCAGCAGGAGCCACCTTTTGAAGGTCAAACAGCAACACGACACTTGACCCACAAAACCGTGCCCTCAACACGAAGCCCAACTGAATCAACAAGGCTCTGACCGACCTCTAACCTTGATTTCGACCGAATTCTTCTTGGACGAGTATACTTACGAGACAATTCTCCTCAACCACAGGCCTAGCACCCTGAGACCCGGAAATGCGGAAATAGCCCCCAAGCTTGGAACCGTACTGCCACAAAGCAAAAGGAGAGTCCAAAGAACCTTCGCGCCGCTGCCCATCTCGACATCTTTGCTTTCCGTCGCCTGCAAGCCAGGGTTCTGCATTGCTTGCCTGGTCTCCAGCTGTGGCAGGACAGCGGCTTCGGAGCTCTCTCGTTGTTTTTCAGTTCAGAAGATTTCAGAAGCTCGCGGCTCTAAAGGTTCGCGAACGCCATGCCGACACAGCTGCATGGAAGCTGATCAGAGACACGAGCATGCAACACGTGTGATCATGTGTGTGTGTGTGTGTGTGTGTGCGTCTACAAACAGTGGCACAGATCAGCCTCCACTGGAAAACGACTCCAGAGCGCTGTTGATTCCAGGCGATTCCGGGCACAAAAATGTGCAATTAATTAACCTTCATAGGTTGGAAATGCATCATCGTCATAATCATAGTCACGGTAGTAGCAGTCACCGCCATGGTCGTCCTGCAATCGCAGCGGCTAGGATATCATCAGCCCGCCCGATGCAATGCATTTAGCTTCTGAAGTGTCTGGGCACCCTGGCTCGATAAGGAGATCTGGACCGAGCCTGAGATAACTGCCGCACCGAATCGCACAACGACAAGGCATGGCAAGGTCTGGGCACACGACTCGTTCCCTAGACCCGCTCGAGTTGCTCGCTCCTCCAGCAGCCTCATAACAAACACGGCCAATCAGTCTATCCCCCAAGTTCTCTCAGCTGGGTCTCTGACAGAAGAAGGTCGTCGCATCGGTGTGCGGGAAGCGTTCTGGCCAAGTCATGGCGGTTGCATGAGGTTTACTGCATTCAGCTTTTCCCGCCTGCCGGGATCTGGCAAATGCTTCCTAGGCGGCTGCTGGCAGTTGATTTCCGACCTATGTACTGGCGAACTGGGTTTCGGACGAATGCCTCCGGAGGCGTGCACGGAGCGACAGGGCCCTCAACAAACACAATATGGCACGTCCGTCTCATGCGACTGCTGCTCCCGCCTCGTACAAGTGCGCCTGCCAAGCAGAGATTCCAAAGTTGGCCCACGATGCAAACCTTTACGGAAACACAAAGGCGGGATGACCCCCCAGGGAGTCGGCGAGTCTGGCTGAGGCAGATCCTGCAGACGTCACATAAACATGCCCCCTTCCAAAACAAACAGGGTTCAGCTCAGGCTCTCGCCATCGGCGGCGTGCGGAGCCCAGGCGGCGTCCGTGGGGATCCAGGTGACACGCGGGGGCTACGGCTGCGGCCCAG